AATAGAAAGATACATAACTCTTTTCGGTTGCGTCGGTTTATTTATACTGGTCCGGAGGGAAGTCGGAAGATTCAAATTCGTCTTTGTTCAACGGTTATGCGTAGCGGCGACATTGTTTTGCCCAGAGTCTATTTGTTCTTACATTACTGATGTTCTAACGATGTTGATACTCCGAGGCAAAACAACAACATGATTTGAATTGTCCTCTACTCATGTGCCGCTACATATTTATATACAATTGAGTATCCGAACTTGAAGCTTTGTGGAAATATGACTTTTCTTAATTTTGAAAAGTGTGCAAAAATCAAGCCTCAAATGTTTATTAGTTCTCGCAAAAGTTATCTAGCAAATAAAACGGCGTTTTATTTGATCCTGATTTCTACAATTTTTGCACCTTGCACGGCAACTGATAGCAACTCAGTTCTATTCTTTCTATTGGTTCTCTATACAAGAGTTGCATTATTATGTGCAAGTCCAATAGATTTTTGATTTCAAACTATTAAAAAATGGCTCCATAAGCTAATAATAGAGAAGAAACATCCGCAATTTTACTCTCTTTGAAGTCTCACGCGGATCATAGTAAAGTTTGTATTGTTCTACGAATTTCACGCTTCTGTGTCTTTATCTATTTCTAAACTTCAGAATCCATCAATTAAGAAATCATTTTTAGTGAACTATTCCAAGTACTCTTAAGTAGATGTAAGAATTCGAAAAGAAAATGAACTTTAAGGCCATTGGTCATAAAAGAAGTTTTCTGACGCGTAAGATACCGTCGGGTGTCATCCAAATATCGAGCCTGCTTCCGGTAAATACCATATATAGATGCCGTAGTATTGGTTTTGTGGGTTGTCCATCACGTAGATTTTCAAATCTTCTCTCATGTTCGTCTGAATCTGAAGTGAATTTCTTTTTCTGGTAGCTGCGTGAGTTTTGTTTTGAGTGGATCGTTCGACTGAAATTGTTCAAACTAAGAGTCGGTGGTCGGTGAGGCAAGTACAGCTCTTGAAAGGTACAGTTGGAAATAGCAGAACATATCCGCAGATATTCTTGCTCAGTTCCTGAATAGTTGCGTCTTCAGCTATTAGTAGTTAGAAGTAGTTAATGATAAATAAATAAATAAATAAATAATAATCAATAAATAAATAACAATAATAATTTAACATTGAAAATAAATAATAATAAATAAGTAAATAAATAATAATATTTCGTTCATCCATCTAAAAATACGTTGCATATCTCTATAGAGCTTCTTAAAACATTCATAACAATCGTGTTCATTTCATTTTTCGTGACGCCATGTTCCCTTAAAATTTCGACGGTTTTTGGCGTTATGGCCCCTCTACTGCGCAAGACCACGGGTAAAATCTCTCCATCGTCCACACTGTATTTTACCATTAGGCGGTTCAGGCGTGAGAAGTATTTGTCGACCTTCTCCTCCGTTTTAAGGAAGCAATCTCCACGAGAATCCGTTCCCCGTTTTTAACTACGAGGCCCAGCTTATACAGATTACCTCCGTAGGCTCGACAAATACTTCATTGTTCTTACTTAACTTATTCGTGAGGTGAGACTTCACATCATCGTGTCTCCTTATTCTTAGACCTTTGAAGTATTTATTTATTTATTAAAGACTTATTTATTTCTACGTAGGGGTATTTATAATTCTTAAAATATTGTTCGAGCTCCGTCAGGAGAGTAATCTCTTCTACCGACCACACTCTACTATTACTTTCTTAATTAGTGGGGTCTAATATTCCTCTTCTCTTAACATTTCTGACGGCACGGTGCGCATGCCACTCATGCATTTATAACCCTCTATGGGGTCCGAAACTCAATTAACATCCATTTTCTTGTCAGCCCGTGCCAATATGGTCTTCACACTAAAGGTGTTGGTCCTCAATTTTAGATCATCAATGTACCTAGATGGCTTGAGCAAGTTATACTCCTTAATGCACACATTGCCAATTTTCTCTTTTGCAAAGTCAGGAATACCTTGGCCTTGACTTTTAAGTTCGGCACATTGGTGCAAGTGTTCGCTTTTTAGTCTTTTTTTTCAATTTTGTCAAATCCTCGGAAGTGGCTGGCCAATTAATCCTTAAGAAATTCGCCATTCTTTTCAGTTTTAAATCTGCGTCCGCGCCGATAAAACTTGCGGCTGCTGGATCGGTTGAGTTCTTAATTTTGATGGGATTCTCTAGGGTACCGAGCTTTACAAGATGTTCGAATCTAGGTATACCTGGACCTCCGTTTGCTTTGGGAGTGTAGTTGAAAGCACAAGATGTATTATTGCCTTTATTTCCTGTCTGCCTTCGCTATCCAACAATTTTAAGAATGAATCGCTTGGAGGATTGATCAACAGGTGGTAGATGAAGCGAGGGAAGATGTACTTAGTTACTAACTCGATTTTCTGACATGGTTTTAAAGAGAGCTTTTTACTCTTCTTATAATACTCAGAATTT